CACCAATGGGTCGTGATTTTTATCCAGTTTGCCAGTCTGTGCCTTTTGATTGGAGCATTTAGGCCATTTACATTTCACGTTAATATTGTTATGTGTGCATTTGATCCTGCCATTTTGTTACTGGTTGTTTGTTCTGCCCATTGGTTAATGCAGTTCATTCATTGCGTCATTGGGCTTTACCATTTGGATCATTTTTGCAGTGGCTGGTACTGGTTTTCCTTTTTGTGTTTAGTGCTTCCTTCAGGAGCTCTTGTAAGGCAGATCTGGTGGTGACGAAATCTCTCAGTAATTGCTTGTCCATAAAGGATATTATTTCTCTTTCACTTATAAAGCTTAGTTTGGCTGGATATGAAATTCTGGGTTGAATGTTCTTTTCTTTAAGGATGTTGAATATTGGCCCCACTCTCCTCTGGCTTGTAGGGTTTCTGCCAAGAGATCTGCTGTGAGTCTCATGGGCTTCCCTTTGTGGGTAACCTGGCCTTTCTCTCTGACTGCCCTTAGTATTTTTTCTTTCATTTCAACCCTGGTCAATCTAATGAGTATATGCCTTGGGGTTGCTCTTCTTGAGAAATATCTTTGTGGTGTTCTCTGTATTTCCTGGACTTGAATATTGGCCTGCCTTGCTAGGTTGGGGAAGTTCTGGATAGTATCCTGAAGAGTGTTTTCCAGCTTGGATTCATTCTCCCCATTCTCTTCAGGTACACTGATCAAGCATAGATTAGCTATTTTCACATAATCCCATATTTCTTGGAGGCTTTGTTAATTTCTTTTCACTCTTTTTTCTCTTTTCTTGCCTTCTCTTTTTATTTCATTTAGTTGATCTTCAATCTCTGATATCCTTTCTTCTACTCAATCAATTTGGCTATTGAAACTTCACAAAGTTCTCGTGCTGTGTTTTTCAGCTTTATCAAGTCATTTATATTCTTCTCTAGGCTGGTTATTCTAGTTAGCATTTCATCTAACCTTTTTTCAAGGTTCTTAGTTTCTTTGCATTGGGTTAGAACATGATCTTTTAGCTCAGAGAAGTTTGTTATTACCCACCTTCTGAAGCCTGCTTCTGTCAGTTCATCAAATTCATTATCCTGTTTTGTTCCCTTGCTGGTGAGGAGTTGTGATCTCTCTGGGGAGGAGAGGCATTCTGGACTTATGAGGCCTCTTTTGATCTTTGTCAGTTTAAAGTCTATTTTGTTTTAAAGTTGGTTTAAAGTCAGCCACTACTGGGATGTGTCTCCCAGTCAGTATACATGGAGGTCAGGGAGCCACTTGAAGAGGCAATCTGTCTGCCAGAGCTTGAATGCTGTGCTGCGAGATCTGCTGCTCTCTTCAGAGGTGCAGGCAGTGACGTTTAAGTCTGCTGAAGCTGTACCCACAACCATCCCTTTTCCCAGGTGCTCTTTCCCAGGAAGGTGGGGTCTTTATTTATAATTCCTTGAGGGGCTGCTGCCTTTTTTTCAGAGACGCCTTGCCCAGCAAGGTGGGAATCTAGTGATAAGTCTGCCCTACAGAGGCCTTGCTGAGCTGCCATGGGCTCTTCCCAGTTGTTCAAGCTTCCCAGTGGCTTTGTTTACACTGTAATGTTAAAACCACCTACTCAAGCCTCAGCAATGGTGGACACCCCTCCCACGACAGAGCTCAAATGTCCCAGGCCAAGTTCAGGCTGCTGTGCTAGCTGCAAGTATTTCAAGCCAGCGGATTTAGCTTGCTGGTCTTCGTGGGGGTGCAACGTGCCAAGCCAGATCACCTGACTCCCTGACTTCACCTCCCTTTCCAGGGGAGTGAACAGTTCTTTCCTAGTGTTCCAGGTGCCACTGAGCTATGAAAAAATAAAAAAAACTGCTGTGGCTAGCTCAGTGTCTTCCAAAATGGATGCCCAGTTTTGAGCTGGAAACCCAAGGCCCTGGTGTTGTAGGCACTGGAGGGAATCTTCTGGTCTGCAGGTTGTAAAGAGCATGGGAAAAGCAGACTATCTGAGCTGGAATGCAGGGTGCAGTCCCTAATGGCTTTGCTTGGCTAGGGAGGGAGTTCCCTGGCCCCTTGTGCTTTCCAGGTGAGGTGATGCCCCACTCTGCTTCAGCTCACCCTCCTTGGGCAGCACCCACTATTCAACCAGTCCCAATGAGATGAAGCAGGTACCTCAATTGGAAATGCAAAGATCACCTGCCTTCTGCATCAATCTCACTGGTAGCTGCACACTGGAGCTGTTCCTATTTGGCCATCTTTCCTGCAATTCTAATTTTTGTCTTTATAGCGGCTTCTGTGGGGAGATTGTCACCTTCAGATATTGTCTGCAGGCATCAGTTGGGCAAGGTGCAGTCGTTCTGGTTCTGAATAGGTACAGTAGTAGAGTCCATTTCTTACTGTAAAGGACTTTAAAGATCCTTCTGTTCTAGTTTTCTCCATAGTGGAAAATTTACCTGAATACATCTTTTTTGGTGTTGAGCCTGACATAGGCCAGAGGCAGCCACAGCAGTGCTGTGTTACAGGGAACAGGTGCTCAGAGTGCCTGTGAAGCTGAAGTCTGGGGCTCAGTGTCTTGTTGAGCTGCCATGGCACCTGCGGTGTAGGTTCAGGTTTATTCTCTTAGGCATTGGTAATGCGGCTCTCCCACAAGGCCAAGTACTGTGACTCTAGGGTACTTCCCAGTATCTCAGGCCCAGGGGCAGGCATGTTGCTGTGACTCATCCTGGCTGTTAGTGTGTAGCAATGGCATGGCTCTGGGAAGGAAGAGGGTTTCCAAAGGTTCAGGCCCCAATGAGCAAGGTACAGTTGCAATTACAGAACCAATAGGGCACAGTGGCAATACATGCACCAAGAAAGAGGTAGTGACTCTTAGCCCTGAAGTAATGGGACACAGCAGTGGCTCAGGCTCTGTGAGGTTAGGTGTAGTGGCAGCAAGGGTCCAAGAATGATGGGGGCACATCTGTGGCTTTGGCCCTGGGAGGTGTGGAGCAGTGCAATGTTGACTTCACTCCTAGGGAGGTGGGACACCTCAGCAATTCAGGCTCTAGAGGGCTATCCTGATTCAGGGAGGCAGGGTGCTGTGGGTGTTTCAGTCCGGAGGGTAGAGTGATCAGATCAGCCAACACTGTGTTTTTGTAGAAGGCTGGCCTGTCCCCATTTTAAAATTGAGTTTTGTTGTGGTTGAGTTGTAGGAGGTCTCTATATATTCTGGATTATTAATACCTTATCAGATATATGATTTAAAAATATTTTCTCCCATTCTCTGGTTTGTCTTTTTATGCTTCATATTTTCCATTGATGACTGAAAGTTTTAAATTCTGATAAAGTCTAAGATGTCTATGTTTTTGGACAGTGTGTTTGGTATCATCCAAGAAGTCATTGCCAAATCCAATGACTTTCTTCTATGTTTTCTTCTAAGGGTTTTAAAGTATAGCTCTTAGTTTTAGGTTTTGGGCCTATTTTAATTTTTGTGTGTATAATATAAGGGCACGACGCCATTATTTTGCATGTGGATATCTAGTTTTTTCAGCATCATATGTTGTAAAGACTATTTTTCCCCCTACGTATTGGTCTTAACACTCTTGTCAAAAATCATTTGACCATAAATGTGAAGGTTTATTTCTTAGCTCTCTATCCTATTCCATCAAACTATGTGTTTGTCTTTAGGCCAGTACCATACTGTTTTGGTTATTGTAGCTTTGCAGTAAGTTTTGAAATTATGAAGTGTAAGTCTTCCTATTTTGTTCTTTATCAAGGTTATTTTGACTCTCAGTGTACCTTATAGGGACAGGGGTCTCCAGCCTCCGGTCTATGGCAGGTTAGGAACTGGGCTGCACAGCAGGAGGTGAGCAGGTGAAGCAAGCTTCATCTCTATTTACAGCTGTTCCTCATTGCTGGCATTACTACCCAATATCCGCCTCCTGTTACATCAACAGCAGCATTAGATTCTCATAGGAGCGCAAACCCTATTGTGAACTGCACCTGCGAGCAATCTAGGTTGCAAGCTTCTTATGAGAATCTAATGCCCAATAATCTATCACTGTCACTCATCACCCCCAGACGGGACTGCCTAGTTGCAGGAAAACAAGCTCAGGGCACCCACTGATTCTACATTATGGTGAATTGTATAATTGTTTTATTATATGTTACAGTGTAATAATAATGGAAATAAAGTGTACAATAAATGTAATGCACTTGAATTATCCTAAAACCACTCCCCCAAAGCCATTCCATGGAAAAATTGTCTTCCACGAAACTGGTCCCTGCTGCCAAAAAGGTAGGGAACTGCTGTCTTAAGAATTAAAAAAAAAAAAACAATACTCTTATTTTTCCGTTAAAAAAAAAAAGTATTTGGGATTTTGATAGAGATTGTACTGAATCTTAGATCACTTTGAGTGATAATGACATCTTAACAATATTATTTAATATACTTAATATTTCCAATGCATGAAAAGTCTAGTTCTGGCTTAGATGCTTGGAAATAGGCATTTCATGCATTTACTAGCAGAACTACTAGCTATAGTAATTTGAAAAGTTTGCTAATATCTATTACAATTAAAAGGATATATACCTTTAATGCACCAACCTCACTTACATGTTCTTTTTTATAGAAATGCGATCACTGTGATAGAAATATATATGAACAATGGTATTTATTGCACCATTGCTTGTAGTGGCAAAAAACAATGATAAAGTGTTATTCAATAGAGGAATCATTGCATAAATTATGACACATTCACATTTTAGAATATCATGCAGCAACTTAAAAATGTAACAGATTAAAGAAATTTCTGTCAATTTACCTGGGTCAAAAATGAGGAGGATAAGCATATAATCCTGTTATTATTAAGAACCACAAACCACCGTGTTTATATACATATTTTTACATGTTTGAAGAAAGGTTTGGGAAACTATGCCTCACTCATAAGATTAGTTGTTTGGAGGAGGAAGCCCAGAGGGTTTGAGGTTGGCAAACAGAGACAATGAGAATATAATATAAGATTTAATTTTATATATCTATATTGTAGTGATTCTTTTACCTTTATAGGTAGGTTTTATGATTGTGGTCACAGCAGGCAGAGTATTTGTAAAGTCAATAGTTTTTTGGCTTAAGGTAACAACTTTCGAATGCCCTAAAAAAATAAGAACAGTGTTATTACGTGGTAAATTAAGTAATTTCAACTTTTAAAATGTCAAAATAAATCTTAGTCTTCTGAAACACAGTTTCCTTACAACTTTTTTCAGTAATTTAGATGAAGCAGCTTACCTAACACAAATATTCTCTGAGTTTTTTCTTGCCCGGTATTTGATATTTACAAGAGTGCATTATAATAGTACAAATCAAGGAAAAAGAAAGACTAAAGCAAATTAACACAGGTTCAGAAAGCCAAATGTGGTAGCATGTTGTCACTTACAAGGAGCTAAGCCTTGGGAAATCATGGACATAAATATGGAAACAATAAACACTGGAGATCCCTAGTGAGGATACGCAAGGAGTCACCGGCTGAAAAACTGCCTATTGGGCACTGTGCTCACTGTCTGGTGATGGGACCAGTCATATCCTAAACCTCAATGTCATGTAATATTCCCATTTAACGAACCTGCGCATGTAACCCCTGAATCTAAAAGTAAAAATTATTAAAAAAAATAAAGACTAGAAATTTCATAGATAAAAATGTCAGAGAATGAGCCTTTTTGCAGGACAGCGAAAAATGTGAATAATTAAAATGCAAACTTTTAGATAAGTTTTTATCTCTATATAAAAACATTTTATCATTTTATTAAAAAAAAGTTCATATCCCACAATCAGAAATCTAGTGCTATGATTAAGGAGGAGATACTAGAAATACAATTGTAAAGATATGTATTTTGGGCACTGCTAAAAACAAAACTATGTAATTAAAACTAGTTTCAACATCTGCTTATTTGGAGGTAGACTGCTGAGATTAAAAGCAGAATGTGAAACATTTGGATGGTACCTTCTCAAAGTTAGTGAGTGAAATTTACATTAATATGTTGACTTTCTTCAGTATACTTTTTGCACAGAAATGAAACATTCAATTCTTCCATTCCTTAAGGCAAGTGTTTGCTTGAAAAATGTTTATCTGCCATTATTTTTAGATTCAAAGCCTGAATGCTTTCATGAAAATTTTTTAAAAGTTATGCTATTATAATTTTTATTCAATCCACAACAGAAGACCATTATTATTGCTCTCTAATCATAAAGTATAAATATAGATAATAGATTATTTGGACAATTTATTAATTTTATTCTCCTCCTCTTTTCTTTAGGGCTTATAATTAATATCTTCATCAAATAAAAGAATTTGCCTTAGAAAAGAAAACTCAAATTGTAGGAAAAATCAGAAGCTACATTAATGAAAAGTAGTATTGTAGGTGATATGAAGTTAACAGGTGAACCCCAAATCAATTACATTTATCTAAAAGATAATGAAAGATGACTGACCCAGCTTTAGAAGCTGTAAAAAGCTAGGAGAGGCCAGGCACTTTGGGAAGCTGAGTTGGGCAGATCATGTGGTCAAGATATCAAGACCATTCTGGACAACATGGTGAAACCCCGTCTCTACTAAAATTACAAAAATTAGATGGGTGTGGTGGTGCATGCCTGTAGATGCAGCTACTCAGGAGGCTGACACAGGAGAATAGCTTGAACCCGGGAGGTGGAGGTTGCAGTGAGCCAAGATTGCACCACTACACTCCAGCCTGGAGACTCTGTCTCAAAAAAAAAAAAAAAAAGCTAAAAGTGTCAACCAATAAACTCCCCTTTTCGGTCCTAGCATATCTTGTCAACTTTATTTTGTATCCACTGAAGCCCAGGATTTTGCTTATTATTTTAAATGTTCCTCTTTTGTTATATATATTTTTCTGACCATTTTTTCTTTTATCTCACTGGGAAAGAAAATGGAATTCACTTTCTTTGCTTACATTCATTTGCTTTCCCAGCAGCAAGTCCAAATATCTTCTTATTGTTTTCTTTTTCCTTTTATATTGTAGATAGTAAAAAACCAAAATATAGTCATCTTTCTGCATTTCCTGTTGATTTTTTACTTAGAACCTATATGGATAGAAAGTGCCATGTATATTTAGCGCACAAAATAAATAAAAGAAAAATCATCTAAATTTTTTAAAAAGTTCAAACTCTTGGGAAGCTGAGGCAGGAGAATTGCTTGAACCTGGGAGGCGGAAGTTGCAGTGAGCCAAGATTGTGCCACTGCACTCTAGCCTGGGC